TTTTTTTTCCATTTTTAACAATTTTTAACATAAAACAAAATTAACAGTTTACTGCCATTTTTATATGATCAACTAAGAAAATTGATGAGATGGGAAAAATATCAATAGAGCAGTGTTAAATGTCCAATTTCTTCCATTCTGAGATTCTGAACATAGTGAATGATTGAATCTGACAAACTGCAATGATATGAGTTTATTTCCATTTTTGAAACTTTATTACACAATACACGATAAGTTTACCATCATTTTTACAAAATCAACTAACAATGTTGTAAAGATGCAGGAAATGTCAAACAAAAACTTTTACGTATCTTATTAGTTTAATAATGAGACTGTTAACATGCCTAAGAATTGAATCTGAGGAAATGTGAAAAATATGCTGAAAAGTGAAAAAACAGCATAACTTCTACAAAAATGGCCCGATCATGCTGATTTTCGAACTTGACCTGCGTTTTATGAATATTCATCAGCTCTGTAAATATAAAGCCAAAAAGTAAAACTGCCCTCCACTTATCGTGTTAACAAGGAAAGTGCACGGCGCCGGCATCGGCATCGGCGACGACAGACGCAGGTGATGGCAATATGTACAGACACATCTGTGTCTGTACATAAAAATCAAACCAGTTTTTTTTAAGATAACTTGTGCTCAAAGGCAACTATGTTTCTGAAAGATTTGATTGAATTAAAATTGAATATCAATACAAAATTAGGACTTACCAAACATGGAAATGTGTGGAAATCTTCAAAAATGTCAGCAGCTGGATCATAGTTGACGAAGGACAGATTTGTGTCATGCATGATAACACATATTGACATAACAGTAACAGCGATAAATGTTTCAATAAGTAGGTATTTATTTAGAATTTTATCTAGTCCGAAAGCAAGTGCAATACGGGACGTGTCCCATCAGTCCTGTTGATTAAACATTATTGTGGTGTTTCACAATACCAGATAAATGATAGGAAGCATTTGATCAGTCATTGTTGAAGAGGAATTTGTAGAATTTGAAACTGAGCAAATAAAATTTAACCATGTTGCACTGTTTCAAATAATTTCCAATCACATATGAAACAAACAGGTGTCAACACCCACAGCCTTATTCAACATCAAGGTGGCTTGTGAGACATTGAAATATCAAAATGCACGTTACTATATTAGACATTGTTTTGAAGTACCCTCTACCAGGGCCACGGTTATTATTGAGGGCATTTTTGGCAGACCAAAATCACTATTTATCTAGAGACATATCTGTGAAAAATCAGTCCAGGATTCCTGACCTCAAGGGGTCTTTTTATGTGATAAAACCAACATTAAATTGGATGGAGTAAAGTGGCACTAGAACAAAGTCCATTTGCCGTATGTGCAACAGGTTATTCAATTTTGCAAAAGCAACACTGGCTTTCCCATAAAAACCTGAGCAGGGGATTACAGGACCTGCAACATAGATTGTTATTTGCTCAAGACTTGAAATTGCCAAAAAAAATTTTTTTTTGCCAGTAACAGTGAACTGCTTGATTTGTTCAACACACCCAAGTATACTAAATTAGAATTATAAGTTATTTTAATCCATTGAATTAAACAATACCATTAAGTGTTGATAGTTTAAAAAGTAGCGAGAGCAGTGGAAGATATTTGTTGATGCCTGAGACATCAGACGGCGTAAAAGGAATTGATGATGACAACTTTAAAGTAAGATATCTTCCGACTTAGCCCCCTGCCCAAAAATGTTTGATAAAGACCAAAAAAGATTGATTCTTTTGTTTTATTTCTAAATTGCATCATACCTCATACAGTGATAATATCCATAGTGTATTCTAATATCACACAGTAATACTGTGATGAGGTAATGCATACCTTCAGCACCAAAACACATAAATACATACATCTACCCCCTTTATACACACCAAAAAAGAATTTAAAAATAACAACCCTGTATAATTGACACAACTGCTCTCAATTCCCTTTGACAATGGATGTTTTAATACAAAATAAGCCCAAGTCTCTGCATACTCTGTCTGGTAAGTGTGACAGTTATCAAAAAGTACACCATGAACAGCGCACTGCTTGGTGCATCAAATAAGATAAGCCTTGTGTTGGGCATGCAATATCTGTAATGAAGAGGGCCGTGTGTTAGACCCTTGACAGATTTCAGTGAGACCAAAGTGCAAGATGTGTAGTATATACAACTCACACCACTGACCTGGCACAGCATCATAATCAATCAAATACAAACACTTTACATGTTACAAGTGCAAAGGCACAATCCACACAGTGCAGAGTATAATTTGGTGTATCTCAAACTTGCACCTATATTGAAAATACCCAAGCCTATCAGAGCATTTTGAAAATAAGTAATTACATGGCTTAAAATGTTTCTGCCTCCCCATATATACATATACATGTACATTACATTATAAAGATATACATTAACATATAGAGAAGTATATATGAGCTTGTGCAGGCCTTTGTGGAGCATCTTGCAGATATAGTGGTTGACATATTAGTAGTATCTGTACACTGTAGCACTCCAGGTGCTCAACTCAACATTTGTCAGGCCAATAATTTCAAAATACTAATGCTTAGTATTAGTATATTATTTGTAGTTGACTGCTGCTGACTAATCTGCTCAAAGGTGCTTGGCATATTCATCTGGGTAACAATCCTCCTAGACTTACAAACTTGCATTGAAAATTACTTGTTTTTATTCTTTAATACTGTTCAAACTTGGTGTGCATTACTGGTCATTGTTTCTTTGGAAATGAGTAAAGTACTCTGCCAACTGTCAAGAACCATAGGCTCTGTGCATACAAGGGATGTCTATTTCCACAGTATTCCAACTACATAGATTTTTACATGGCCTTGCAATGGTTAGTGTTTCTGTGGCTCCTGGTTTTTACCCCAAAATTCCTTCAGATGTTTATAAAGGCTGACACTGTCCAGTGAGATTCCTAAAGATCAGTCCTTGCGAACAGTCTTGATTTTTGTGGCTGATGAAGATAGTCTTGACGCTGGATGGTTTCTTTTTCTTAGACCCTGACTCACCTGTGCAGAAAAAATAAGATAAAGACAGAAAAATTGAAACAACTGGGCATTTTTTTTCTGCTTTGATTAGCCACAGTTTAACTTTTATATTAAATAAACACTAAGTTACCACTTGCATAAAAATGTGTTAACACTTTAAAAAAACAGCTTTGTTTCTTCACTAATTCACACCGTTAACATGCAATAATCATAAGGTACAAAATTAATCTACAAGATAGCTCCATTCAGAAGAAGTGTATGGACACCCTGGTTGATGCACATACCCTGTGACCAGGAGAATGTTTTGGTTTAAGTCTCCCAGCAGACGCTGAGGTTGTAAGTGGCTGAGGTTCCATTCCCTCCTCCTCCTCCTCTTCCTCATCTTCATACTCTTCTCCATCCTCCTCTTCTCCCTCTTCCACAACCTCTATTATGTCATCACCATCCTCATCCATGTCTTCCGAATCTACAACAATAAGATGAACTTAGTACATAACCATTACACAACTATAATTATATCGCCAAGTATTTTGATTTAACATGTACAAATAAGTATGTGTGAGCAGTCACATCTTCATGCAATCAAGCACCATCATAGATCACAATAATTTTAAACATACTAGTTATTGCTTTTATATGAGCCCAAACAAGTACACATACATGTACACCCATATCCATCTACATACAACTATAAATTCACAATGCATGTGCACACCTACATACACAAACACACACACACACACACACAGGCACACACACACACACACACACACAGATCAAATTTGTTCTCTGGAAAGTTGTTCTTCAAGATTGGAAAGACTAATGACAGCATTTGATAGTGTGTAATAAAAACAGTAAATCAAATGTTATGTTACCCGTTTCATCACTGGGAGTGTAAAATTTTGGTGGTTCTTCAATCCTAGACACAAGCTCTGCTAGGTCAGTGAAGGTTGCATTGAGAGGAGTAAAACACTAAAAATAAAAACAATGTTTTTTCATCATTTTCTATAAACTGCTTGAGACACAAGTGTTGGACACAGGTGCGAGGAACAGAGGTGTATGTATGTGTGTGTGCGAGCGCGCATGCGTGTGTGGAGGAGGGCTACATCAAGAGAGGCCAAGATCTTTTTTCATAAATATGTTTAAAACTGCTTAATCAAGATGGCAGTGCACTGCAGTTGGGTGACAATAATGAGGATAAAGTATTCCAAAAAGGTTCCATGAGCACAGCCAACCTTACCAAAAAAATTAGAAATAAAGAAATTTCATAAGCACCACACCAATAAGGATTTTATGAATATGACTATATATAAATGAATTGTTCAAAGTGTTAAAGTAAAAGAAAACAAAAACTGTCAAAGATGAAGATTGTTGTTTCATACTAACCTGATGTATTTTGGGTTTTACTCTATCTTTAGATTTCTCTTTGAAAAGTTCGTTGATAGCATCTCCCTTGGCCATTGCAGAGAAGAACACCTTACCATGGTTGTAACCCACATCCTGTACAAACAATGCACACTGGCTACACTTCATTGTTATTATAATTTAAATATTATTATTATAATTATATGTTTAAATATTGTGTAAAGAACTTACCCAATAAATCAAAATTCTGTTCAAACTAATGGTTTTTGTTTAAATCATCGTTCTTATAATTTCTGACATAAAAATATATACATACAAAATTTCTATTATAAATATTCTTTTATATTACAGTACTTTCAAACAGAAGTACTTGATACTCTGAGTCAGTTACATACAAATCTTTCATCACCACTAATGGAAGTCTTTTTTGATATACATCCTAAAGTAATTAGTTGTGATATGACTACTTACATAAATCTCATCAAAGCTTCCAAACTGCAGTGTGCCATACTTGTCAATGGGTGGCCTCAGGTACTCGCACATTCCACTGTTTGTCACCATCTCCATCTGACGCACACATGACACATAGGCAAGGCGGGACTGGACGTCACTCATGTTTGGCACCTTATAAAGAAATGTGTGACAAGTGAACTTTTACAAATGGACGCTTAGCAAAGATATGAGGAGAAAAAGTGACCATCATCTCTTAGGTAGGAAATTGGTCTCATAAAGGGGTAGGGGGTGGGGTGGGGCGGGGGTTAGAAAGTAGACTCGCAATCAAAGCTTCTTAATTTCTTTGACTTTTGTCTGCAAGAGCAACATTCAAGAAGAATGTATAAGATGTTTAATGGAATATGATTTTTTGCCAGTCAAGAATCCTCTGACATTTTTAACATAACCAAATGCATTTTTAAATAGAAACTTTTGATAAACATAAAGGAACCAGTTTCGCTGACTTCTAACATAGTTTAGTCCAAGCTTGACTCTCTTCACTCACTTTGACAGGCTCTGCCCATGGATTCCAGCGTTTCCATAGCAACCACCATCCAGACAACTTGTCGCCATAGTTGGTGAGGTTCGTCTCATCCTGGCTGCCTACATCTATGGCAAATATTGTTTGAGCACCCATGGTTTTCATGACGTCAGCTGCAGAAATAAAAAGAAACCATTCAGAGTAGTAGTAGATGACATGGTGCATACTAAATTGCTTAAATGTTATTACTGAAGTGCTTGAATTTCCCATTCACTCACAGGTCTGAGGTTTAAAAATAATATGTATGAAGTTTACAAATACTACATTTTTAACATTTTCCAATTTGTTATCTGTAACTGATAATCAATTTTTCTCTTTGCTTAAACATTATACTACATCTGCAAAACAAATGTTAAACTGTTTTCCTCAATAATAAAGAAAGGATGGCATACAAACAAGGTTTTTTAATCATTTCACATCCCATAATAATCAATGGAAATACATGGTGAGATGGATTAAATGTTCGCTGTGGACATTGCAACAAGATTAACTTTTTGAAAAGACTTTGTGATTACGCTTTACAAAGAACAATCTTGCTTCATTTATATAAAAAACAAATCTTTCAAGAGAATAACATTCAAAGTCTCAAAAAGTGCTTTAAAACCCAAAGATGTCCTCAGTTTAGAAATGGTATATGTATATGCAAATCTAAAACGCTACAAGATATGTAAATGAAAATATTGTACATAACAAGTCACAAACATTTCACCACAGATCATAAAGCATATTAAAACAAAAAGTAAAATATTTACAGTGCTTAAAATTTAGATTGAGGAAATACAGATGATGCTCAATTATGCAGTTTATCAAAAGAAGTATAACTTGGAAGTTAAGTTATCTCTGGGACAAACCAGTTAGCCAGAGGAAACATTTCAAATTACTATTTCATTTTTCAGTTGAATGTTTATCATTTTAGATTGAAATGCCAGATTATTTCCATGTTATAAGTCTGAATAATAAAATTAAGAAAAATTGTAGCTACAGCACTATCTAAGTCAAAATATCAACAATATACACTGGTCACATTACAGATGGCCATATCACAATAGAGATGACCATGTTAAAGCTGATGTCCAGTATGTACCTGGTAAATTATTAACATATCCTCCGTCCATCAGTAAGTGACCATCCATGGGATCACACAATGGCGGCATATATCCCGCGAGGGACATGCTAGAACGTACATAGCGCCACAGGGACCCTAGAAAAAGAAAGGGAAAATTCCTCTCCCTTAGACTACTGGGTCTCAACACACAAAATACCTGGTAAGTTGTTGCAATAGCCTCCATCTAAAATAAGATGTCCGTCTTGGGGATCACAGAGAGGAGGGAAGTAGCCAGCCAGTGACATGCTGGCCCTGATGTATCTCCACAGGGAGCCTGTAAGAACACAATCCTAAGTCAACATAACACAGTGGTGAATGCACCACGGCACCAGTGCACACATGCACATTGCATGCACCGCATGTTTGTACACAGCATGCGTTTTAGTTGTTTACCTGGGACGTTATCTACGTAAGCTCCGTCCACAAGTAAATGTCCGTCCCGCGGATCACAGATAGGAGGTAGTGCGCTCGCAATGGACATGCTGCCACGCACATAACGCCACAAGCACCCTACAAAGAGCCGGATACAGCAAATACAATCTTTACTGCTGGAGTTAAGTGTAGAAAACCTACTGCACAGAAAAAAAAGGCTTGTTAGTAAAAAAGAAGACAAGTTTAGAAATTTGCACCTTCTGTTTGTTTGTTTTTTTTTTTATTAACCCCCCCCCCCAAACATATTTTACACAAGCAATCCAAATTACATATCTTTAAATGAAACAATACAAGAAAGATTTTGGCTTTCCTGCATGTGAAAATTTCTAACCTTACAAACTGTAAAAGTCAAACATTAAAGTGAGATAACCATTAGCCAGGTATGCACCACCAAGCTGCTCAACTTTCAGTCTAATGAGGTAAAAAGTTAAAGTCAAATATTGTCATTCAAATGTCTAGTTAAATTCTACAAGTCTTTTTTTTTTTTTTTTTTGCTTTTGGCAAGTAAAATTAGAAAAAATAAAATACAATTAAGCTGTTTAAATCATGAAGTCTTTGTCCAGTGCTATAAGGCTTTTCCACTCAAGCATCATATCTTATATATACAGCTGTATTGTTATTCTTTAAGAGGCTCAACTATGTATGATTATGCTACACAGGAATTAACTCCCTTTCAAAAGTCCTTCATAAATTCGCTTCAACCTGCTTAAACATTTTACTGACTCTTATATAAAAGCTACACTATTAATTTGTCAACCTCTTTAACATGCCAATACAACTGTATCACCAAGATAGACTGCTTGATGTGAAAAGAAATAAAGTGTTAACCTGGCTTGGTGTCATACATTTCTTACAATTGACTGCTTTCCCACTAACAGATACAGTGATCCAGCTTTATCAAGTCATTAGTGTGAAGTGATGTTCAAACAAATGGGATCATTTTCACATTTTGTTCTTAACAAAGGTAACATTGTGCAATATGGTTATGACTCTTCCCTAGCCATGTATCACATTTTTTAAGCCCTAGACTCAAACAGTCGAAATAGAAGACAAAAAATTAAAAATGTGAAACTGATCCTTAACATTTTACAGCAATAACACATGATAAAAGAGAAATATTTTTCTAAGATATCAGTACGGTGTAAAAGTAGGTGGTTTCATATGTTAGATTTTATAACAAATGGAATTAAGTTCAAGTAACAAAGATAAGACTATGAAAGACATGGTTGTGACATCATACTGACCATATGCATGCACCTCATTACTTGCATTTTAACTTTCTTAAAATTAGTTGAGTCAAACTGATACTTAACATTTAATACATTATGAAATTAAAGAAATATTTTGTTTACTAAAATATCAGTAGGTGGTATCATAGGTTAGATCAAACAATCTGTTCTCAAAATGGATCAAGATGGGAAGGGAGGAACTGGAAGTAAAGGCACTGTTAAACCAACAGAGGTAGTGATAAAAAATTTGCAACAAATGCTAAACTTCAACACTGAACATAATTAAGCATGCAAATTTCAACATAACTTTCACCAATATTTTCTTTATAATTATCACCATACAATTTTCTTTAAACTGCCATGTCTTTTTTCATTTACCCAGGGGCACCCACCTAGTATATTCAACAAACACATACAGAATATATCAGGCTGTCCCTTCACCCACTTGCACCCACATAAATCACTCACCCACTCTGTGTAACCCACCTGAGGTATGTACCCTCATCTTAGAGGAGGTAATATCAGTAGTAATACAGAAGTAAGGAAGCCAAAGGTCTTCTATCTGAGTGTCTCGGAAGACTTCTTCCAAACTGTTGTTGAATGATCCACCTGTATACAGAGAAAAAATGTAGTACTGTAGTACCAAAGAAACATATAGCATTTAATTGTTGCTAGTTCTGTCAAAACCTAAAATACTCAAAGTGAATTATAAACAATTCTAAAAATATCATAATTGAAATGAGAATATGTAAATTAATTTCGAATTCAGATGGAATCAGGGAATGACATGAAAGTGATGGCCTACAGTTCAATGAGCTTAAAAGCATGACTAAATCTGCACTGATTCAGACAAATTGGTTCCTTTTCTTTAGAAGTGATATGATAACAATTAAACACATTCTAAATAGCAGTCAGTGATTTACTGGATCTAAGAACATAACTTAAAGAAAACCAGACTTAATCTAGCTGAAATACAAAAACATCTTATGTTAGAAATATTTTTATTGAAACCAGTCTAAAAGTTTGCAACTTGCTATCAGTGAAGACCAACAAATAAGTTTCCAACTTGCCTGTGAAGAAGGAGGTCACTGGGTAGGTGAGGTCAAAAATCTTCTTCCACAAACAATTCATTTCCTAAAACAACAGGGGATTATTTATTATTTTATCAATCATGTGAAAATGATGTTTCCTCGTCATGATAAACTTCTCCATATGGTACACAAAGAATCAGTGCTTTTTCTCCCTTACACTACAGCATTGTTATCTTTCTAAATGCTTCATTCTCTATTGTGCTACACATATACATACATTTTCCAAAAAACACGCTAAATCAAAATCAAAGTAAAAACACTGAAAAAGAACACTGCCACAAAGCATCTTATATAGATATATTTTTAAAGAATAATGTGGGGATTTTCCATAACATACATGATTACACACATGGCATAATGCTGTACAGAGACTACCATCTAATCTCAGCAGTTTTACTATTCTTACCATGGCCCACTCCCTGGCCCTTTGTTTTAGCCTGGTAATGTTCCTTTCATCACACCAGATGGCCCCTATGAACGCCCCAATGCTGGTGCCACCTACAATATCTATAGGGATCCCTGCTTCTACTATTGACTTGATCATTCCTATATGAGCACATCCCCTAAAATAGAATTATTTTCTTAATTGTATTAAATGTGTCCTACCTGAAGGAGTAATGCACCAGTGAGAAAAAAAAACATTCCATTAACCCTAAACATCTTCATATATCATCAAGTTTTGGGAAGCACTGATGTCTGTAAAGCACGTTTGGTGATTGTTTAAGTAGTAAAATTATGTTTAACTTGATAATTTCAGACAGGCAAAATTTGTCTTATTCAAGCTTGTCCTTCGATCTTAACAGAAAAAATATGTATCTGAGAGAATTTTCTTAAAAATAAATCAATCAATGCATTACATAATTATGAAAATATCTTTTAATTCTTAATTTTCTGATGTTAAAATTTTTGATCTCTTAAATATGAACTAAATTTAAAATAAAATTTTAATATCAAAATATTCTAATTCCAGTAATCACCACCAGTGTTCAAAACATACCTCGCCCCTCCACCCCCCAGTACCAAGCCTATGGAGGTCCCGGTCAGGAAGCGGGCGAGACGGGAGAAGTCTGAATGTCGATCAGGTTCTGTTTGGAAGATCTTGTCATATTTTTGCATCTTGATGTAATAAGAGAAAATAATATATTCAATAATCAAGATAGCACAGGACTGACAGGAATGATGTATTTAATCAAAATTGTCGCTGCTTAAAAATTTTTAATGATGCCGTCGTAAAATGTGTGTTCTAATTGACAAACAATCACTGCCTCCTGTTCACAAGTGGTTTTAGAAACTCATATTTCATCTATATATAATATAATCTTTTTCTTTCTTTCTTTTTGGCTACTAATATTAATATGACCAACGACATAAACCAAAGCACTCTTCAAAGCTTTTGGATCAACTTCTACATCATAAAACCACAAACCAAAAAAGTAACATGCAGAATCAAATGTATCACATCCAAGTGTACTCACAATCTGCTCAGGTGTTTTCCTGCTGTAAGTGAATACTCTGCCTGGACACCTGACGTGGAATACAGAGCTACACCAGCCCCTGGGGTTCAACCACTCGGCTGTACGCTGAGGCTTCCCGCTGTCCTCACTGTACAACAAGATCATCTCCCTCTGAGCCCTCACAGACATGTTTTCTAGTTGTTTCTCAAGCTAAGGTATAAGAAGAATATATAGATAAATTTTGTTTTGAAAAGGTCCTGTCTTCTCTTTCTTTTTTTCCCCATGTTCCAAAGGCAAATTTTTTGCAAAATTTAACAAAAAAAGAAAAAGGAGAACTTTCTTTCCCAGTATACCTATCTATATAAGTTTATATGTCTATGCAGGTATGAAATCCTCAGTACACAACTCCCAAAATATTCATTTGCTTTAGCTAAGGAAACAGCAAAGAATGCTTCAGGTGTGACAGTGGATGAGCCAGAACACAATGCTATATGATACTCACCTTCCCCACAGTGGGTTCACTTTCAGCCAGTGTGACAATAAATATGCAGTCAGCCTGGCGTATGCACCTCTGTGTCCAGGGGGTCAGTGTCTTATCACACTGATATAACACCATCCTATGTAAGTCCTCCTGCTGCCCCAGCCAGCTGGACAGGCGGTACTCACTCACACTGTTATATGAAATGATTTTGAAGGTAAAGAGGATGAGCTGTTGGCAGGTATAAATTACAGCATTAAAAGTAAAAAGGTCCCCATTTTTTTTCAATACCTATTCTCTAAAACCCAATTTCACCTTTTTATTTGAGGTCAAACAAAATATCATAAGGCTCAATTACAAGCTGGCTACAAACCTTTGATAACTTTCACTTTTATATACCTCAAAAAAGCATTATTTTGGTCTTCTTTTCTGCAAAGTCATTTTTTAAAAACCTCCATTACATATTTTTTATAGTTTCTCAACAGATCTATTTATGTTTCCAAGGCCTAAATCTCACTAATATATACATGGTGAGATGATGTAAAAGCATGTTACCTGTCTAAAGCCCCAGCACCCAGTCTTTGAACAATAACATCACTGGTCAGACGTAAAGTGGGCCCTGAAACATATGGGTACAAACTTTGTATCTCATAATTCTGCTTAAAAAGATATTAAGATATTTTTTCAAATATATCTTACATACTGTGGAAAAGATATGTCAAAAAGCTTTGAAAACTTCAAGAAATAGATTTTTCATCACAAAATTATGATTTAAAAACAGAATCAAAACAACTGTTGATATACTTGCAATAATGAGCTGGCTGGGATTAACATGCATCAGATGATCATTTACATTTATTGGTAAACTAGAATTTGATGAACATTTATACAGAACCCTTCTGCACACAATCATCAAAGAGATTTAAAAATAAAACAGTAAGTAACCAATGCTCTCTATACCTATTGCACCAAGGGCATGTTGTAGTTCTATAGTGAATGTCTCAAGTGGAACATCATCAGTGACAGGCAGTACTGCCACTGTGTTCAGGTTGGCACCTATTGGCCTCTGGTCTACATTGGGATGCTCTGGAATGGTTTTACAATATAACATAGGTTAAATAATTTCAAGTCTGAATTCATTTGAAGCAGAATGTCCTGGAAATTTATATGCATGTGCATGTTTGTGTGTGCATGCGTCTGTACTTCATAACTGCACAGCATCAGAGGAAAAGTACAATTTTTAAAATTTTCAGAATATTGTATTTTGATTATTTATAGACAAATACCCCTTTTTCATTACAATTATATGAGCTGGGCAGTTAAATAAAACATTTCAGCAGAAAGAACAGATGACTTCACAACTATTTACACAAACAGTAACACCATCAATAAACAGTGTCTGCTGATGTATAATTTTCAGTTATTAAAAAGAATCTATAATCAAAACAAAAATCAGATTATTATTATACATCGCTTTCAATACGTACCAGAAAGTGTCATGGCTGTCTCTTTGTGCTCTAAACTTCCCAGAATCCTCTGCCCCAGGAGGTGAATAAGGCGAGTGACAATCTGAGGATATTTCCTCTTGATTAAGTTGAGCAATTCGGCAGGAATTTTGGCTAACTCTGTGTCTCTGTAAAATCAAAACAGCCCAAATATGTCACATAAAGCCCACAAGAAAACAATTTGATAGACATGCTTGCATTGACAAAATAAAGCTTAATGGTTTCAATTAAACAGTGTGCTTTCAAATTTTTAACTGACTTTCATGTCAAACAGTCTTGTCCCAGTTCAGGATATTTAATTTAGGGACTGTTTACAAACTTGTTTCCTTTACTTTAACCCTACCAACACCAATGACAAAGAGAATGTACAAGAAAAATGACCCAAGATACACTTACCTTACAGCAATACTGGTTGTAGCCCTCTCAGTCTGTGTGAGAACTTCCACTATCCCTATCAGCTCTCCTCTCCCGTATTCACCCACCAGTTCTCGTTTACCACTCAAGGTTGTCAGAACCTGACGCAGACGACCATTTAGTATGATGTAGAGAGATTCAGATGGATCATTTTGCCTGCGAAATAAACAGTTCAGATGTTTATTTTTTCTGTAGCATGATAAATTATGATATCATTTCTTATATTTTAGACAGTCACTTGATATATTTCTATATTTCAATCCATTACTTCTTATTCTGTCATATTCATGAAATTTAATTTTCTGCTTTATAAGTAATGAATAAGTCGGCCATTACATCCTTAGAAATGTCAGACAAAAGTTCATGTTCTTAAACACAAAGGTTCTAATACATATTATCCGTCCTCCTTTAAAAAAATTCTCCTTAATGAGTTGTTGAAAAAATAATTACATCTGTGATGTCTGACCACATTACATATTTGGCATGAAGCACACACTTAGGCTGCATTCACATGAAAAATCTATTTTCTAAAAATCTAAATATCTATTTGCGGCATCTAGATTTTTAGATTTTTAGAAAATAGATTTTTCATGTGAACACAGCCTTAGTGCTAAACTGAGTCACATTCCTCAGTATTATACCCTATAGCTATCTATCTTATACCCTATAGCTATCTACTCACTTATAGAGCGCTCTGCCTGCCTCAATCTGCTCCCAGTCCAAAGCAAAGTCAATTTGTCGCACAAATGGAGACATGCGACGCACAAACGTGTGAGCCACATTTAGTACTATCTTTGGGTGTTCGCGCATGATGCTGGAAAGAGAACATGTTATGTACACGATCAGCTGTCTGAATGGAAACTCACAAACAGTTCACATTATGGAAACCCGACAGGATTACCAGCTTGTTTAAGTAACCCAAACAGAGTAGACCACATGATGATCATTCCAGAAAAATATGCTCATATGAAGTCTTTTGTCAATTCAAGATACAAAACCATTTTATTTATTGCAGAATTGGATACTTATGGTACCAGAGCATTTCTGTAAATCTACAAATTTCAAAATTCTATTTTACAAGCTGAGCCACATTCACCAATTTAACAAGCAACATCTAAGGCAAAGCATCTTTCAGGAGTATTTAGAATACCAGAGTCTCATATACACCTAAAATATATCATATGAGAAGTGTTTACCCATAGAACTCATTCTTGTCTATGTAGACCACCCTGGAGTCTGTCCTGGCTCTGATGGTGAAGAAGGAGGGTTCTCCAGTCAGCACTGCCAATGTTCCCACCACTTCCCCTGGGTGGGCAATGAACAGAGATGTCTGAATTATAACAACAGAGTATAGTTATTGAACAGAGGGTCCTGGCAATGAATGGAGAGAGATGTCTGAAATATCACTACAGAGTACAGTAATTAACTGGGTACAGAGCTAGCAACGAACAAAGGCATCTGAAATATAACAGTACGATGTAGAAATTTAACTGGGCTTAAAGCTAGTTAAATATAACAAGAAATAGTAGTCCATTTCCAAAATAGTCTTTGTTCTGAAAATTTCATATGTAACACTTATTTATAAGATGATTGCCTCTCTGTTTCTCACATGTGCGTGCGTGCACAAGGGGAAGTCTGTGCATGCATGCACACGTGTATGTGTTGGCATCACAGTGCATGTTTGTGCCCTGATTATTTTCACACAGTCTGTGATATTAACCACTGGGCCCATACCAAATCCCCAAGACCAGTCAACATATTTTGTGAATTCCTACAGTTACTGTGCAGTGTTTCTACCTTGAACTAGTACATGTAAGTTCTCAGGCACTTGTGGACCAGTGTGTGAGTAACCTGGACAGTGTCTGGGACACACTGTTCACCAATGAAATGTTGTATGTTGTGTTAGGTCAACCTACCTCTTCTGTTTCCTTGCCAACCACCTGTTGAATAACTTGCAAAGATCCTGTTACAACAAACATCAATGTGGCATCCTAAAAACATTTTATGAAAAAGCTTTTTATATTTCTGACAAGACGAATACTAACAAAGCATAAAAAAATTGGAACTATCTGGATTAAATTACATCCAATCAGTTTTAGCCTTTTTTTAGAAAACTGTTCTTTACATAAAAGCATGCAAATATAATTTTAATGGATAGCTGAAATGCTTAATGTTGGTTGAAAACAGACACTTTGATTCAGTCATGAAATATAAACAGTATCAGAATTTGTCTGTTATTAACTGTAAACACTGATTCAACCACGAAAGTGCAACTGAGGATGTAGCTTATCATAATCCATACAGTTGGCCTGGCTGTGTTACCTGGTCTCCTTGTTTCACTAACACTGTCCCAGCTTCATGGTACCTTAGTATCAGCTTGCCTTCCAACAGAGACTTATCCTGAAGTGAAAAATCAAATAGACACATCATCATAGGTTATATATAACCCATTCAAAAAAGATAAAGGAAGAAATAAAAAGCAACTGCCAGGACAAGAGAGTAAATATCCCGTTAGAATCATATACAATTTTTCATGTTAAGTTGCAACTCTATAAGCCAATTGCTTCTACTGTGCTACACAGCCACAAATTCACTCACTAGGTTTCTAACCTACCTTAATTAGTTCTGGATCTCTTTTTAATCAAAACATTTTTTTCTTTCATGCAAATCAGATTTTTCATGGGTGAAACCTTTACGCATTTCCAGAAGGTTAAAACCCTTTGTAAGCCCAAAGATTTGTGAATACCACATAAGTGCAAAGCTACAAATTGTGCAAAGCTACAAATTCATACAAATAGTTACGGATTGTCATTAACCTTTGAGAATATGGGCCAAATTCCCCAAATCATTACCTCCAGCCCAAAGAGTTTATCACTGGCCAAGTCCTGCATGGCACAGCTGATGATGTACTCCTCTGTCAGCTCCTGGGAGTTGGTGGTGATGTTGGCCTCCTCCTGAATGTTCACCGTTTTCTTGACAGTTCTCTGCTTTGAGCTACCCAATGCCTCATCTGAGACCTGAAGGACATATAACTTAATGTAAATACTCATAAATTTCATACACCATAAATGTCCAATAATTACACTTTATATTTTTTTAAAGACCTAACATGATTTAAGTTTATTTTAATTTATTTTATTATAAAATTTCTTGAGGGAAAAGGAGAAGGCAATTATTATCAATTTAGTTCACATGAAGTGGAAAATAACCATGTTCTTTTTGAAAAAAATTAATATCCAGTCTTCACTAAGACAAACTTTTTCAATACCAATTCGGTGCTTAATAAAATGTAATCATTAATATGGTACATTCAACTATTAAATTTCTTGTGTTAATATTTAGACAATAAACAATGAAGAGAGAGAGAGAGAGAGAGAGAGAGAGAGAGGTGGCACCTGTTTCACAGGGGGTTTAACTCCAGCCTTAGAACAGGCAGCGTCAAAATCTGAGTGCTGACGTAAATCTGTCTCTAAAGATTCTGCTTTCTTCAAATCTGAAAAAAAATTAATAACAATTAAATGAAAGAACCTCAGAGTTTACTTCAGCATGTAAAAATGTACTTTTTCAGCAAATGTACCAAATAGAAGTCAACATTTGAACAATGTGAGATGCCTCCATAACACGCACGCATGCATGCACACCTGCACATGCGCGCGCACACACACACACACACTAACCTAAGATTTAATAAGGAAATATCTTGTACAGTCTCTCCAGTGTAATTGGATGTATACCTACCACTCCACTGATCTTTGCCATCATAAAAAGTTATTTTCTGGACTTTCTCCTCAGTTTCAATTTGACTACTACTTCGTGTATATTTGCTAGGACTACCCCTGGGAGACTGAATTGACAGCACAGAAAACTTGGAATCTGATAAGTTTCTCTGGAACACAGAGAAGAAAACATATTAAAAATAAATCTTCTTGTACTTACACAAAATAAAAACAAGTTCATGCCATTAAGTTAAACTCTCTTTTATTTCATTTTAATTTATTAAAATAAATTAATCTCAAGAATGATTACAGAGAAAACAATACACCTCATCACGATCCTCTAAATGAATATTATCTTATGACAGCAGACTTGGCTCGGCAACTGTTAAAAGTATCTTTTCTTATAGTGATTTTATTGTTAAGTGGTGAAACAAGTGACAGAAAAACAACACTTTTTTTAACAAGCCAGGTGACAGAAGTGACAAAGCAAGGCTCACATATATACCCAAGTATGTATTAAAAGATGTCCATGTTTAAATCATGATAAGTGATTAATACACATATCTTATAAATTTGTAGTTTATTAGTAACAAGAGGTATGGACTTTAAACAAGTTGAAGCTTTCTAGGTCTTTTTTCAGAGGGCAGAAGTCACAATAATCACAACCCCAACACCTTTTCAATCTTGAAGGCTTTGTGAAAAAAAACACAACCAAAGAAAATATTATTCTCTCTAAAGAACAGTGCTATAAAACAATCACAATTTCAGGTTACTGTGCATTTAACTTAAGTAGTGTTAAAATGAAATGTGAAAAACCACATCAAACATATCTGCATTATTGAGACATCATTACATTCTCAAGCTCATCTCTGTTCTGCATAATGCTAACAGAATGCCTGCGGGGGCTACGAGGAGGTGAAGCGTTGCCGCTCAGATGACGCACACTCATGCGTCTGGAGTCTTCATGCGTATGCCTCTGTGATATAATAATGCAAATTTGGATCAATTCCTTTGATATGGCAGAAGGACATGGATAAAACATTCTACCCTTCACCACTAAGATAAAAACAGCATGCTATAAAATACCCACATCTCCCATCATGCATGTGTGACCAGCACCGCCACCATCTTCATAAAATGCATTGTGCCAGTTCAATACTATTGCATTGTTATCTAGCCATTCCCAAATAATCTTCCATGCAATTCCCTATTTTTTCAACTGCCCTTTTGACCTCCCTATTGCAATTTCAACATTTTTTCTTTTTTCTTTGAATACTTTCCAAATAATATTTTGTCAGGTCTAAGTTTTTTTTTTGAAAGGATTTTTCCACAAGCATTCATTGTTTTAAAAAGAAACAAAAAATCATCTTGAAGGTTTTCAGAAGTTTTAGGTGCTCACAAACTATCAATATGCTGGTCTATATAACCCAAAATGTAAGTGAAATTTGACTTCACAACCACTTTTGCTGGTCTTTGCTTGAAATGAAAGGTTTTCTATTGAAAAAGGCTTCTTTCAGCAAGATAGCAATTTCATTATATAGCTAATAAATGTTACAAGCATCCAATAAAACTTGAGTCATTAGAGAGGAAAATTATTCAAATGAGGAAAAAATGAGTTCTTGTTTTTCATTATTCATCAAAAACACTGATAAAAATTTCCTTCCAAAAACCAAGCCCCTGAAATATCATAACATTAAATGAATGCAGTTTCCATACCCGAGGAGGCCACTTCTGGCTGAACATCTGAGAAAAGCAAATTCAACATGTGCTGTTATCATCATCTTTCAAAATAAACATATATTATGATATCATTACTCAGAAATTAAGTGACAGTTCACTAAATCTGTAAACATACACTATTTAGTATAATGGTATAAGTTTTGTATAACATTTATCACTACTTCCCTTTCTTCCATACCCCTTCTTCTTCCAATTTCTCATAATCCTTTATTAATCCAGTCTACCTTAAAATTTGCCCTTAACACACTGGAGAGTAAAGTTTTAAACCCCCCCCCCTTCTATTTAGTTTTGCTTGCCCTGCCCCAGAAGGGGGTCTACCTCCAAGCAAATCACAACACATACATTTCAACTTTTATCTACTAGCATTGCCAATTAAAAAGTTCACTATAACTAAATCTAAGGCATAAGCCTGCAATATGTAAATGTTATCTAATATATATTTATAAATCTTATTAGTAACTAAACAACCAAAGATGATTATGTAAATAGAACATACACCTTTAAACTTTTTTTATAATATTTAAATAGACAACCTATAAGTGCTATGTGTACTTACAGGATTGATCAGTTCGTGGCTGAGTCCAAGGTAGTTGTGGAGTGCCATGAATGTAACTCTCTGCATCCTAACCATAATAACCTGCAATTATTAAGTTAGAAAATTAGTATTTGAATGCTACCCACTTTTTCAACATGACCATGCTCTTAAAAATTCAAAATGAAAAGAGAAAGAGAGATAAGAAGACGTCACTGAAAATCACTCATACAAAGCTGAGGTAAATCATAATTATTTTTCAAAATCCAAAAATTCTCTTTAAAAATTGCACTCTCACCTGTACAATCCTGATAATGGACTCTGGGAATCTCTCAAAGATGGAATTGAAGGCATTTGCTGGCAATCTAAAACAGCAACACCAAACATTTTAACCTAAATCTTAAATAGAAGCTTTTATATTGGTGGTAATATTATCCTCAAGTACTATAGCTGCTGGGATAGAGATTGAAACAAGAAAATGGACTTATTAACGAAGCAAATTTTCATTTCAACTTACAGGTCTTTCACAACATTTTGAGATTATGACAAATCAATCCTTATATCACATATTCCACTTCTCTCCTGCAGTTTAGATACATCTTTTTTTTTTTTTTTTCACGTGATTCTGAGAAAAGATCAAAGTTTAGATAAAAACCCAGCTCATATGGTCTCATGTTATATTTATATGGTCTCATGTTATATTTATATGGTCCCATGTTATATTTATATGGTCTGATGTTATATCTATTTAACTCACTTGAGTACTGTTGAATCTACGGCAGCTTTGGCACACACAGTTTTGTAAGGAGCTGGATGCCCCTATATGACCAGAAAAAACAATACAATAAAATATATAACTAGGCCTACCACACTTACTCATTATACTTAAGTTAAGCAACCTTTAATAGCATTGCCATCTCACGTGTTCATGTGCAAATTTGTGTGCACGTGTCAGTGTCAGCATATGTGTATATTCACATGTAGAATAACCATCATGCCTTGCACAATGATCTAAGCATATATAGAACTATCCTACACATAATACTCAGAATACATACATCCCTTTTCAAGAATAAGAGAGAACATGAGGATAAGGGTCCATATACTATTAATGCAGAGACATTTAAATTATTAATTTTGTCACTGTAGTATCTCCATTGAAAAGAAAAACATCTTTCACACAGAGCTGAACAAAGATGGCATGATATCAGTGATCGAAATTAGAAGGTCAAATATTCTATGTAAAATGGCACTTGTTGGTTGTCCTACCGTGAGTACATCAAGAATACTGAGCAAACTGTGGATGCTCTCGCCTGTTTCCACATCTTTAATTGTGTGTTCTGTACCATCCTGAATAGGAAAAGTGGGAGAAAAAAATAATTAAATGTCACAATATTACTTGGTCAATTAATGTTTATATCGTATCCTTTTACTCTTCTATTAACACCATAAACTTTATTAGGTAAGTTGGTGGATTTACACAGATTACCTGAGCCAGAGGACTGCAAGAGTCAACGATCCAGTTTTAAATCTACGAACTCCAAAACTGCTAATATCAAATACTGATTCTTCTTCAACAAATAACTATTTCCAATATAAATTATATCATATTATTATAATACCTTACTTTTCTTACTTGCAATGAAACCATTTTATCTCATTCTGCACAAAAATATGTATTACTCCTTACCAAAATTATCACTAGGGCTTTTTCAGATACTATTGGCCCAGTTAAAAAATACCTAGCCTAGGGCCAAATATAATTATTATTATTATGATGATGATGAATTCCATTCATTGCTTTTATACCTGTTCTGTGATGAATACCCTTATCTTTCCATTCTGCACAACATAAATGCTGTCATCACTCTCTCCAATCTTGAACAGTAAGTTTCCAGATGCTACAAATTTACATTCCATATGCTTGCATAGTTCCAGGAAGATGGGGCGTTCAAAATGACCAAACACCCTGAAACAGAACTTTATTGAATTCAGTGACATTTGAAAAAATAATTGCTGAAAATAAAGACCCCTCAGAAAACTACAAATAAAAAGTTACCTTTTGTTGTCAGTCTGCCAAAACATCCCATTTCTCTTAACATCAATGCTTAGTTCATTAAATTGCCTATCAATAATTAATAAACAAAACTCTACCTTATTATTCCAAAGTACTTTACCAAGGCCATTAAATTGCTACACAATGTTCAGTCAATACTTGATACTAATGGCACTGACCTGACACTCTTGAGCATGAAGAGTACTTCTGGGGGCAAAAGGAGATCACTTTGTTGATCCTCTAAATCTGCCTCCAAGAATGACTGAGGTGGCTCTGTATTTTTCAGCTGAGGTTTGCTTTTCTCATGCCTTTGTAAAAACCTGTTATACAGAGAGCAGAAGAATCAGGCGAAGTTGCAAGTATGCTATTGGGCTGTATTAATTATTGTTGTTTCCCTTGCAATAACAGAGGTAAATGAGGGAATGTGTCTCACTGTAATACAATCATAAAACAGTTCCAGAAACTCAGATAAATTGCTCCAACTCGGAAAAATTTTTTACACTTTAATACCCCAACAAGGTCTTTAAAGAGACTAAACTTGTTTTACCAAAGACAAATGATGTTTTGAGCCTTCACCAAGGGAGGTTAAATCAACAGTGATGTGATCATGACAAGTGCTACTGATGAAAGGTTGAAATGCCTTGTTGGTCCAAAAAAGTGAAGTCTCTTTAAAAAATTTTTTCCACATCTGTCCATGAGAGTCAACAATAAAAACCAATGTCATTGTTACTGCATATATTTATATGGTTCTCAATGACAGCGTGCACCTACTGTTTAGCTAACTTCATCACAATCTGCCTTTTCTTCAGTCCTTTCTTTTCCATCTTTAGGTTTTTGGCAGTAAAAGAATTCACCTAGAACATGAAGTACAAAAAAGTAAACCAATTTTGGTGTTGGTTCAAGAATCATTTACATAACAACTGGAAACCAAGGTAGACTTTTGGCCCTTTTGGGCACAGCTTTAAAAATATAAGTATCAATTTGTTAAATGTTGCAAATACTACCCACTGTCCACAGAAACAATGCACTTTACCGAGTTTGAAAAAGATTGGGTTGAACACTTTGACATTAAAACTTACAAATCTGAAATATCCATAACATGTATTACTTCAAATTTCTAGTTCCTTACAAAACCATTTATGCTTGCAGCTAACAGAATTTGAGAAGCAATTGTTAAAATATATCCACGTAAACAAAAGTTGTTTTTTTAAATAAAATAACAAAATATTACTGTATAGGAATAAGCAGATGATTGACATTATCTTTGGTAAAAGCCTTTCACCATTTTCTAATTTCTATGCCACAGACAATAATGAAGGTCTATATTCTTCATTAATGAAACAAGTTCAATTCTGCCTTACCAGTATATTAAGGAAAGGTACATGGAAACAGTTTTACTCTAACAGTCAAGAACTGCACAAACAAAACAAGATCTCTGGGACAAGTAAACTGGCTATAACAGAGATACTCAAAAGACAGAATGAAGTTCACAACAGACTTGAAGTAATAGGACACAAGTTTAGTACAAGATACCTGTCTCCAAGATAACCCCTGACCACAACCTAGAACATATTGAAACAAACAGCATGTGACCCACTGTTACGGATTATAATATATATTTATACAGCATTTACCTTTCGCATGATCTTTTTTCCATAAAACATGAATCTGTCTCTCTTTCTAAATCTGTATTTGGGGCCCCTTAAACTGGGAATGCCTGAAAATCCTGAAAACAGATGCAATTATGTTGAAAACATATTGTAACAAATACACCATAGAGATGGTGATTTTGTAAACAAAATTATGATACAAAGCATGATGCTACGTACAGAAATATATAAAACTACTCAGCCCTTCACATCACTTCAGATATCAAAGTTTGGTGCAGTCAAATAATAATTTATGAGGAAGTACTACAGATTTTCCCATTTGGGGCTTATGCCCATTCAGGATGCGAATATAAGAGTGCTTTCATTTCCCCTGTCCCTTGTTTTTCCATGCTAAAAATGTTGCAAAGACTACACAAGTGCCAATATTGGTATTATTTTTGAACAAATTATTGCATAAAAAACTTGCTTCAAATTTTGGGTTCCAATTTACACCTGCTGGTTTGCATGGGCTTGTCATAAGGACCCTGGCCCTTAAGTTTAAAGGTGATAACAAATTTCATTTCACTGTTTTCCTATCTCTGCACCCAGCAGGGCTCCAAAAGGTAGAAGTTTCACTTTTCATTTCTCCTTTGTTGCAGAGACTGACACATAATAAAAACTACAAACAACTGCATGTGAATTTTTGGAGCATCTGTGAAATAAATGTCTGATGTCATTTTGTCACATACGTGACTTAATCATTTATAGTCACAGTAACTAAAATAGGCAGCAAGACATTTTTTTCCACCAAACTGTAAGTTTGCTACATATTTTCTAGCCATTTCACATTATGAGAAAATGCGATGTTGGTAGAAATGTGAACTCCAATGACTTCAAACAAACTGGATAATTCTCATCCATTTTACATGCAGAAAGCTGTCTCAACTTTGAAAATTTTTTAAGGGTGGATTGTCAGACAATTGCCGAGTTAGTTTGCAAATGGTAGAGGACATCAATCAGTCTGACTGAAGTGTGCAATACACCACAATACAGTGCAACAAACAAGAAAAAAAGAGAGTCCTGTAAGTACTGGAAATGGTGATTTCTAAGAAAACAAGACAATTTAAAAAGTGAAATTTATATTTAAAATAGGTAATAAATGTCACTGATGCAGCTAAACAAATTGGCATGACTTGTTTATTGTCAGGTTTGGCAGTGAAATTGCACTGATTTGTTTTGTTGTATGAAATGAATGTTATTGATAACTTAGTAATTTACACTGGACCAAAAAGTTTTTGAAACACCATTACTTTGAATAAATAAGAAATAACCATATATGAGCTATTTTAACCAAATATTGATGAACAATGAACCCATCATTCATTACGTCTTAAAAATTTTGCCAGGAAAGAAATTCTGTGAAAATGGCAGCAACATTTATGAATGTGGGGTCAAATTTCATTTTCAAAAATCATGCAAATGAAGTGACTAAGTTTGAGCAAGTTTTGACAATAAACAGTGGAGCCTTAATACAATACTGAGCAACCTCAAGATTTTATTTTAAATGTGGCCTACATACTGTGTGCCTTAAATAATGATTTTTACCGTTCATTGCCAAGACTTGCTTAAACTTTAAACTTGGTCACTCCACTTGCAGAAATTTGGCCTAACATTTTTTCTTAGAAATGGCTGTTTCCTGTGTTTACTTGCAACTGGACTTTTTTCTAGTGTATCATGCTGTGTTAAGTTGTATTGTGATGCAATGCACATTTTAAGTAGACTCTGCATCAATTGTGCTTTATTGCGTAAAATAAGAAGCAGTGACAAGATCACTGTACCACTATCAAGAACAAAACATAACATATACATTTTCACATTTCATTATAACTTAAGTGAATGCAACTTACCTTTTGCTTGGATTTTCCGACAAGTAAAGTAGAATATAATGCATATTGTCAGTACTACGGCAGCTACGAAGGCAAGAATGTACTGAAATTTTCAAAAAAAAAAATTCATACAACTTTTAACAACCGACGATTCATGACCACTGATGCTCAGATAAAAAATATCTCATTGGTCGCGCCATAATAAAAAATATCAGATAAAAGACAATAGATCATAAGAACCTCAAGTCTTAGATTTAAGTAGACTTTATAATATATGGAGTAAAAAATGACAACCAAAGATCGGTTTGTTTACGTCAAGTAATCACAAATCAACAACAGATGACAGAGCAAATATGCTTGTAACAATCCCCACATGTTTTTAAATTATTTGACACAACTATTACGTTATCGTTTTAACTCACTGTAGTGTTAATAATTGATAAGAAGTACTCTATTTGACTAAAAACCGTAGATATTCTCGCGTCCTCCGTTGCAGCCATTTTTTCTCAGCGAACTAATACTATCTCCAGTGCAGAAGAGCTCTCACATGACCTTGACTAATAATAATTATAATAATACAGTACATAAATAAAAATCAAAATATACTTTTCCTTGATCGCTTATCTGTCAAGGCACAAAATTACAATATATTTAAAAGAACTAAAAAATTATTCATCGATCACATGCAGTCGATTTCTGTCACATGACTAAAATCCCTATTTTGGTTGTGTCTGTCCATAACAAAAACTTTCATGGTCTAAACAGGCCCTACAAACGCTCACAAGCTTAAGATGGTTAGGATAACAGTTGATAAATTTATAACAGTGAATACAATGCATTGGAAATCGGCGCCAAGTCGTGTCTGTTCACGACAACGCAAAATTGAATAAAAAATAATAAATTAGCATTTTAAAACTCTATAAATGCAAGAAAAAAAAAACGCTTAAAAGAACTCCTATCCGTAGCTTCACCAAGACAAGTTTACAAGTTTACTCTCAGTTGGTGGTAGATCAATCTCTGTTACCGCGCAGCGAGACATAGCAGGGGCGGATCCAGGATTATTTGAAGGGGGGATGGCGGGGGGGAGGAACAGACCTCGGATGCGAAGCTGAGCACTAAGCTGAGCTGAATGCATGCTGAATGCAGATAGAGAAGTTTAGGGAAGTTGTGTTGAACAGGGTCGAGCAATTTTCGTTATACCTCAGTGTGTTTCCATGGGATTCACCAAAAAAGCAAGAAAGTATCTGGCATTCATTGATGAAGAGCAGAAACCACTAAATGGGCCAATCAGGGAGAATAAGTGCTTTTTTCCATTTCTTCCTGACATTTCTTTTTCTCGTCGTTTTTCAAATTAAGTGTCATCAGTTGACAAGCTTACTAATTGCTGACATTTTAAATGCACACGGTACTTGCCCAAGAGCTCGTTAACAATAAAACTTGTTAATTACACAACGCCGCACTTCCCAAGCCAGGTAATAACAGGTAACTCAACTCAACCTGTCAGGTTCTTGGTGGGCTTTAATATTTTTTTTAAATATATCTCTTTTATTTCATGGGGTAATGTTATTGGTATTTTAAAATGACGTTTAATATCGATATTTAAACAGGTGAGTTCAAACACGGTCGCGAACATTTATGAAAATGATCGCATTCAGGGTATTTTGAAGCATGCGTATGCCCAGGCAAGATTTAAGTGGAAGAAAACGTGGTTGAGGAAAAACTCAATAAGGAGCGGTAATATTTAAGAAAAAAAGAATGGGAGCTGCTGTAATAAAATGATTCGTCATTCTAATTCGTTACACGAAATAAAATGTTGTGTGCTTTGATTGCAATTCTGAGTGCTTTGTTTCTAAAGGGTATTTCAACTGAAATATTAAATGATATAAAAGAATTATAATTTCATGATTTGAAACCAAAGTTCTGCGTCTGTACGCAAAACTTATCTTAAATTGAAGTTTTGTCAAACCTAAAAACATACAACGGAACTAAGTAAAAAAATGCATTGTTTGCTATTAGTAGTATGTTGAAAAGTCGTAACTTTAATGTGTCCACCAAATGCGCAGTATTCGATACGTACGTATATCTTAAATTATGCATGGAGATTTAACATGGCAAGAGATATAAGAAAGGCACATACGGTATTTTTCAAAAGAATGATGGGTGTCAAAAGGAGCACTAATAATAACTTAGAACATATTATGAAAACGGGAGAATCCTACTTTTTATTTAATAGAAAGCTAAGATTTTTTAAATATTGAAAATCCGTTCCTCGAAAAATTGTATTATATTACAGCGTGCTATACAGAATAGATCGGCTTCACAACAATTTTGATTGGGTAATGTGAGTACGGAATGGACTGGAGGCAGTTAGCTTGTCATTTATTTTTCAATTTCAATTTTACACTGTCCTTGAAAAAGCAAAGAGTGAAAGATAATGGCTTTTGTACAACATCTTGTTGATAATTTTACAGTGCAATTCTATTTCAATTAGCCAACTTCACATAAACATAAGGAATTAATTGCCTAATTTAGACTTTCATCACATCTACTGGGGAGTAGCTGTAGAAACTGGAAGGTAATCAGACACAAATAGAAATTAAGAACCTGTAAACTATGTATTTTAGATGACATCAAGGATGAATTTCATTTTATTCTTAAATGTCCTTGCTCTAGAACGATTGGGCAGAAATACAGCAGAATTTTTATTATGAATTGTTTTCACTTAACAATTTTTCAAAATTAAACAACTTAGGTAAGTACTTAAAATGTGCATCGGAGTTAAGATTAACATCAGGCAGATGAGTTTTTATTATTACTAATAGTAGTTGTAGGGTTGTTGTTATGACTTAATATTTTTACAGCAAGTGCTTTATTTGCGAGGTAAACATGTCGTAACCGTGCAAAGGCATTACACGCCGCATTGTAATGCCCAGGCCAATGTCAGAGTTCAGGCAATGACGTCACCACAGGATAAATTATCAGTTAAGTATTAATTACCCCCCAAAATTAGGCTTACGCTTACAGTAGGTAAAACGTGATGGGCAGATCTAGAGAGAAGAGGGGGTCGGATTATATTGAATTTAGGTTCCCAGAAAGTTGTATTCCCCTTAAAGTCATTCGAATGCAGTATTGGGATCAACGAAATTTTAAACGCTAGTTTAACAATTGAATAGACAGGCACCTGGCTTCGCAAGGATATAACCTCCTCCGGTAAGAGAGGTGAATGGGTATGAATTGTTATCAGTAGTTTGAAGAGTCACCTTACAGGTAGATAATGGTAGCTCAGTTTGACAGCTTCTTGAACTGGCTCTCACCTCCGGTGGCACGATTGTCGTCACCGGGCCACGTGGTCACGTAACTTATTAACTTCCAGACCTAGCTAAAAGGGAGTTTTTTTGAAGCTCAAAATTTGCAAAATTACCTCCAAATTTGTGCATTTTGATAAAGATATCATAAGTAGGGCATGTTTTCTGCAAAATATGCTCCGTTCAGGCCATTCTGACGGCCTGGCGATAAACATGCAACGACCCTTGTTAGTTTGCTAATTTCGTGTTGATGGAGTAAGCCTATGTATGTGGCCACTTAGGATCTGTTGGCTGGAGGAGGCAAACGTCTGTTACGCCTCTCTTCTGGTCTTAAGTAGCTAGTATTCTAGCTGACAATGAAAGAAAATCCCCGACTACACCCAACATATTGCTTGAGTCTTCAAGGTTTTCAAAATAGGTGCGTTTTTGTATGCATTTTATAATATATATTAAAAAAAACATGCTTGAATTCACAGATTTTACCTTTTATAACGATGTTGTGATCTGCCATTCCCCCCTTATCAGTGAACTGAATTGTTTTTCTTCGCTCTGCCACCAGTAGCGCATGCATGCTTCCGTTTTTAATAGGAGCGTCAACAAGGTCGGGTCTAAAACAGTTATTTCTGTTTTATAATCGTTCAGTTAATGAGAGCAAGAAACCTTTTTTAACAGCATTTCACTCTTCTCGTTTTTTTATTATTATTATTATAAGCTCATTTCAGAACTATTTTTATGTTTAGTTGTTGGTTTTTCTGCTATTTTATTCTTGTGGACGCACATCGACGCTTGTGGACACAACCTTTGCCTCTCTTATCGGTGTGTTATCGTTCAATTGGCCTACAAACTGATGCACTCTATTGTTTTCAAACTTAGTACTCTCTCATGTCAAATATATATTTAAAAATCAACTGATTTCCCAACCAGTTGTCGCTTGTGGACGCTATATAGACAGACCAATTTTGGTTACTGGCCTCACAAGTCAGCTGCCCCAAGACGTCATCTTGTGTTTATTCGCCTTTTTACTTTTAAGGAAAGATGGTAAGTCATAATCTTATTATTTTTAACAAATCCTATCTTTTCCGTTGTATCTAGCTAGGGGCCTATATCTAATGTAGAACTCTATTTAAGTAGTACATGTGCAAATCTTAATAGTCGAAGCGGCAGCGCATGTGAATTTCGGTTTCGATATCACTACTAGTAGTTGTAGTAGTCGTTGTATTGCGGATATCATCGAAATTCATAAGGGTGAAATGCCTTGTGGCAAAAATGCATGACCAAAAATATGATTACGCATATAATTCAAAGATTGTAGGACCCAGGCTTGCCTCACAATTTCAGATAATTAGAAAGTGAGATGTACAATGCAGGCAGGCCCTTCACTCCCGCCGAGCAGCGTACAATGGGAGCGTTTCGATAGTCCATATTGGTCCAAAAAGTCGTAAAATTTTCTCAACTTTTCAGTAAAAGGGTTCATTGGTCCAAAGCTTCTATTGTCCGAAAATTCGAGGTTTATTGGTCCGAAGATTCGATAGTTCCAATTAAATCTTTTTAACAGTTTGACAAGGGGACTATCTCTTCCTAGGAGAGCACCCCCCCCCCACCCCCCCCCCCCCCACACACACACACACAGACAAATGCCCTCCAGTACACCCACATGATTACCCCTGACAACGGTTCGTAGGAAGATCCCCTGATATCCGACTTATATCCGACTAAGCATAAATCAACAAGTCGGTGAAAGATGACAGACCACTCCACCCTCCAGCGACCTATAATCCAATAAACCGAGTTCGTAACTTGCACAAAAGATAGTATTTAAAAACTCTTTTGAATTTCCGCTTTCTGTTATATATATATATAAGACTAAGCATAATATTATATAAATATAATATGATTCAATAATACATATGTCTTATCTGTTATATCATAATTACATTTATATGTAGTTAATAGTTATTATATTTATACTATTATAGCAAAAGTAAGACATCTCTATTTTGTTGATGTCGCCTGGACGTTAAAAAGCCGGCTAGCCTATTTATCTAAACCAAATAAGCACGGGACATTAAAAATATAATGTGGAACTGCAGTAGTTACCTAACAAAGGGCGTTTTAGCGCCAAGGACAAATTACATTCTGACGAGACTTTGTTCTCTTGATTAGTTCCAAGTGACCCAGAAGATGCTCGAAGGGACACGTCATCTTCTAAT